CGATTTCAACGTTACTTATGAACGACTTTAACGTATAAACGGTTTTTAAATTTAAATATATTTTTGTTGACAAAAGTTTTTGAAAGCGATTTAAAAGGCATTTAATTGTGTCTAAAATGAGCACAAAATCAAATGCAAACCAATTGTTCACTAAATGGTTGACTGAATGGCGAAACAGCGCTAAAGACGTCGGATCTAAGATGGAGTTCGTCTACAATAAGGTATCACTTATTCAACACATGTTAACAATTTTGCCATACATTTGATTGTTATTGTCTGATAGGCTTTGCGGTCACTTCGGGAACACCCGAACCCTTTGGCCACCGGACAGGAGTGCCGACAGTTGAAGGGTTTCGGCGAAAAGATATGCCAAAGAATTGACCAGAAATTGGCTCAAATGAATGGCACGAATCAGATCTCGACCGAAACCAACAATGAAGTCACTGTTCGTCGAGAAGAGCGACAAATCACTGATTTATTACCGCAGAAGAAGAAGAGACAACTGAAGAATACGCCCAACAAAACGTCGAGTCCATTGAAAAAAGTGGCCAAAACTAAGCGAAACACTAATTATATCCCGAGTGAGGGTTCGGGCGCTTATGGGATACTAATGGCTCTAATCAGGTCTGAGTTAGAGGACAGCGTCGACTCTTTGGGCAAATCAGAGCTCCAGAACTTGGCTCAAGAATTCACGTGTTGTAGCTACTGTAGCCCTTACTTACCGTCGGTAATATCGCCTACCGTACGTTAGTTCTGAAACCAATTGTTCTTAAACCAACTTTCTTCATGAGTAGCTAACTCAGCAATAATAAACTGAGTTTCGGGAAGGGATTTGGCGCTCAAGTTATACCAAATGGTCAAAGAAAACAATCAAAGCGCCGAATCTGATGAACAAGTCTTAGATGTGATTTGCGATGAAAGTGATGACCAAAGCCCTGATTCCGAGTCTATATTTCCGGAAAGTCTGGTTCCGAACCCTTTTGTGAGAAGTAATTCTCAAACTACTGTTGAAAGTCGATCGCATGCTTCGACTCAAAGCAGTTCATCGACTAATCGAGTGAATGATGGGTTTGTTTTGGAGGCGAATACTTATGATATAGTGCTATGCGTTGACACTCGGGAACAGACAAGTGGTGTGAACAGAGATATGAGAAAAACTGCTTTAATGGCTGTTTTGCAACAAAACGGCGTTAGAGTCGAAATGAGGACTTTAAGTGTCGGCGACTTTGCGTGGATTGCGAAACAAAGAGTAGATTTGGGGCCAAATATCGCGACCATTAATAGCCGTTCGCGAAGAGAATTGATTATGGATTACGTGATTGAAAGGAAACGGATCGACGACTTGGCCAGTAGTCTAAAGGACAGGCGTTGGGACGAACAGAAGTACCGACTCATCAATAGTGGCGTTCGGAAGCCTTCGTATGTTATCGAGTATTTCGGGTCTCAAACCAAGAGAGGAGACTTCGGAGGCATTAAATACGAGACATTAGATCAGGCGATCACTAACGCAGAAGTGGACGGCTTTGCGGTGAAACGATGCGATAGCTATGACGACACGATTCGCTATTTAACATTAATGACACGATATCTTGAGTCCAGTTTTAAAGACAAATCTCTGTATTCGTGTTCCAGAGAAGAGATGATCAACAAAGAGGTGTCGAACGACCACTTCATGAGTTACAATGAATTCGATCGAAACGCCAACAAAATCACTAACTTTACGGTCAATGAAATGTTTTTGAAACATTTGCTCCAAATTAAAGCCATTTCTGTGATTAAAGCCAAAGTGATTGTAGAGAACTATCCGACCCTTCAGAGCCTTTTGGACGCCTTCTCTATCCCGGAGACACTCAAAGAGAAACAAAACCTCTTGTCTTCCCTTAAGAGCGGTTTAATGGACAGGAATTTTGGCCCAAATTTAAGCAAAAAGATTTATAATCATTACTGCAACCAATCGTTTTAAATTATATTTTTTCTAATCATATATTTTTACATTTGATTTTATGATTGTATATATTTTTAATNTTGCCCAAAGAGTCGACGCTGTCCTCTAACTCAGACCTGATTAGAGCCATTAGTATCCCATAAGCGCCCGAACCCTCACTCGGGATATAATTAGTGTTTCGCTTAGTTTTGGCCACTTTTTTCAATGGACTCGACGTTTTGTTGGGCGTATTCTTCAGTTGTCTCTTCTTCTTCTGCGGTAATAAATCAGTGATTTGTCGCTCTTCTCGACGAACAGTGACTTCATTGTTGGTTTCGGTCGAGATCTGATTCGTGCCATTCATTTGAGCCAATTTCTGGTCAATTCTTTGGCATATCTTTTCGCCGAAACCCTTCAACTGTCGGCACTCCTGTCCGGTGGCCAAAGGGTTCGGGTGTTCCCGAAGTGACCGCAAAGCCTATCAGACAATAACAATCAAATGTATGGCAAAATTGTTAACATGTGTTGAATAAGTGATACCTTATTGTAGACGAACTCCATCTTAGATCCGACGTCTTTAGCGCTGTTTCGCCATTCAGTCAACCATTTAGTGAACAATTGGTTTGCATTTGATTTTGTGCTCATTTTAGACACAATTAAATGCCTTTTAAATCGCTTTCAAAAACTTTTGTCAACAAAAATATATTTAAATTTAAAAACCGTTTATACGTTAAAGTCGTTCATAAGTAACGTTGAAATCGATTTCAAATTCAATTGAATTTGATTTCTATTGAAATTAATAATTAAATTTCAGTTAAATTTAGTCTAAAATAACCTTAAATTTAACAGTAATTTAGTTTAAGTTTATGTGAAAGTTGTTTACTTTGTTTCTATTTACTTAACAACTTAATAAAATGTTACTCAAACTAATCGCAAACTTAATTAAAGTTATCATAAGTTTTGCGTTAACTTTAATAAGTTCTAACTGTCAATCAATTAATGTAAATTAAATTTATTAAAATTGTTAATAAGTAATATTAATTGCAAAACATTAATACAATTTTTTATATGCATTAAAACGATAGGACGAGCGCTCGGATGAAGAGTATTATAACGCTTACAATGAATATTATAATAGCGTTGAGAGAAAACGGGAACGAAATGAGATGAACACGATTTTGGTTGAGCCGGAAATCACTTTATGGCAAGTGATGCTACCGTTTCTAATCTCATCATGGATCATTATTGCCATCATTTTGGTCTGCATTTGTGGTTTGTTTGTGACCTGTATTATACAGTCGTGCGATTTGAACCAACTTTGTAAGTTCTTATGCAAATTCTTATGGTATGACAATTGAACAATGAATGCCTTTCATGCCATCAGTTCATCCATTGGAGAGTCTCGAGTGTCAGGGCTATCATCGTATGAACGCTCGGTTGGAAAAGTTAGAAAAACTTATGCAAATTCTTATGGTATGACAATTGAACAATGAATGCCTTTCATGCCATCAGTTCATCCATTGGAGAGTCTCGAGTGTCAGGGCTATCATCGTATGAACGCTCGGTTGGAAAAGTTAGAAAAGCCCGGACTTTATATAACACCCGAAGGAAATCATGAATATTATACGCCCGACGCCGACGAGGAGGCGGTTTCGAGGAATATCGCGGACCGATTGGGGGCCGACCAGACATGACATCTATACCACACCTCAACACTAGATTATCATTTACTCGCAAATATATGGCATTATTTTTGAAAATAATTGTTTTTTGTTTAAGTGCTTAAATGTTGTGTTTATTATTGATTAAACGGTTTGATTATCAAATGGTTAAGCAAATAAATTGAGAAATCTGTTGACAACTGATCTCGAGACCGATGTGAAGAATCCGTGTCCACTCGGATCGTTTGATTCGTTGATATTTTGACACTTTTTATGACCACAATTGTCATCAACGATATCATTTGATTTGAGTGCTCCGACTTTGCATTTAAGCCACCACTTGGAGGCATCTCTTGGAAAGGCAGGGTTTGCCTGATCCACCTGTCAGTGCATATTCATCATGAAGTTATTGTTGAAGCCATGAATTTCTTGTTTTCAAACTTACAGAACTTGAGATATCATTGAATCTATAATACTGTGAGCCCTTAAAGAAGTAGGTTTTACCAGTTTTAGGCCAAAACATTGCCGCGTCTACAGAACCGGGAAGTCCTCTCCACGTCTGAATCGATGAGGGATAGCGTCTGTTTATGGGATAATTCACTCTTTCCGGTTCATATCGCCAGTACTTTTCACCTGATTTTATATACAAATTGTGATTTATTATTTTGAAAATGTTTAGATCATCAAGAATTTTAAAAATATTGAATTCTTATTTAGAATAATGATTATTACGATTATTAATTATTACGAATAATGATTATTATTAATGATTATTATGATTATTAAAAATAATGCAAAATACAAACTTTTAAACAAATATATTTTGCCATTGAAGCCCCAACGAGTGGCCGCATCTAAATGTGTTGTCTCTAAGCCTCGGATCAAATTGTCAATTGTATCCTCAGCTCTGATCGCTGTCGTCATCGGTTCCTTAAAAACCCAAACTTTCTTTTTCTTAAAAATATAAGTGCGGCCACTATTCTGGTCCGTCACCACTGCATCCACTTTACCGGTAATGCCGGGAAATATATCGGATATGCGTTTGGGATAACCGGGATATATACCCGTGTCGTCACTGATTCTCCAAATGTAATCGTCTCTAAAGAAGAAACACTCGTCCATTGAATTACAATCGGCCGCATCTAATCTGAAGTCAGAGCACAGGTCGGGCGCACCGGACTTGACACTCGGTTTCCTGTTTTCATTGGTATCTAAATATGTTGTGTCTCTTTCTTGTCGTTTCCCGTAAAGCATTTCAATGCCATTGATGTCATCTGTTCTCAGTTGCGTCCGTTTGCCCGCATATGTTGGATACATAAGCGAGTCTTTATTATCCGAATGACCCAAACCTAAGGCGTGGCCGAACTCGTGGACGGCCACACTCAAGAGGTCGACCCCGCGTTTACCATCGATGGACCACTGCTCGTGATCATCGAAATGAGTGGTTCCACCGAACNGGATACATAAGCGAGTCTTTATTATCCGAATGACCCAAACCTAAGGCGTGGCCGAACTCGTGGACGGCCACACTCAAGAGGTCGACCCCGCGTTTACCATCGATGGACCACTGCTCGTGATCATCGAAATGAGTGGTTCCACCGAACTGTGGGAAGAATGCGTGCGCTAACGTCTTTCCCGGACCGTCAAATGGGTTACCGTCGCTGTGATCCATAACTTTCCATCCGATCTCAATCATCGCTTTCTTATTTCCCGTTTCGCGCACGAAATTAAGTCCACTATTTTTACTCCATTCCTAATACATATGCGTTT